ACAGTTCAGGGAAAGACCTTGTCACCTGAGTTCATTAAGTAAACAGAGTTTTACTGTGGAGCTTGTGCTTTTCTGAGAGAGATTGGTGTCATTACTAACATGGCACACTAATTTGTTACAAAACAATGTCCTATGGAGACTAGGACGATAGACATGATAGTGCTTAATGGTTAATAGTGTTTGTTGCATAGCAAATAATTCCTTTTCCTGATGTTTGTGACAGGGCCGCATCAGTTGTACTGGACGGCTGATGGTACAGGCTGTCAACCAAAGAGGTCGCAGTCCCCGCTCTCCCTCAGGCCATCCTCATGTGAGAAGGTATTTCAGATGTTCCTTCCCTAGGTGTTATCATTATTGTTATTTTATTTATTTACTACTGTAAGTTTAGTACTACTAGAATCATAGTATGACCGCAGACGTGAACGTAATTGGAAGATAGAGTGTGTGGCTCCTTGATTATTGTGTCCCTTTGAATTTCAGAAAGGGGAAGGGAGCAAACACATGCTCAAGTGCGCTAAGCCTGTTCAAACACACCATCGTTAGATTGTTAAATAGGCACATTCTATGTATGAAGAAATCAAGACTCAGCACCTTTAAGTGGCATATTAACATGAAAAATACTAGTAAGTGGTACACACACATTCAAAACCAAATTTCTGTAACCAACAGCTGTGTGGGTTGACCATTATAAGCTATTGCTTTTAGATTTCTTAAAGTTAGCTAGTTTGTTAACGTTCATTTTTCAGTCGCTTAGTTTAAAACATAAAACAATCAGACCATAAATTTTGCAGTAAGGATTTGTCCGTTTTCAGTGCTCAGATATCTGCTAGCAATAGGGTATGCTTTCCATTCCTAGCAGCCTTGAGTCTATGCAAGGATGTTGACAGAATAATGGTAGACAGGGACAGAGAAAGGATATTACTTCTTAGTAACATACGTGCATTTAAGAAAGAGTATGATGAGTCAACCGGCCTGTCACCATGGGTTCCCGTTTAGATATTTTACAGACAGAATATCCTCAGATACTCCAGAGTATAAATTACAGGCCATTGATGCAAACACTTTTGGTGAAGAAAACACAGACTTAGGCTCACAGAGGGTAAGCAGAAAAACTGAGTAAAGCATCAGACAAGTGGTTTGTCTCCACTTTCTCGTGTGACTGGATCCACAGAGCCCTTCATTCAACATTTGGAAGACAATCTAGCACCTGAGCATGTGAAGATTCAGTTCTAACCTTATTGTGATAGTATCTGTTCACAGGATCCTAAGCCTATATCTAGGGCTATAAACACAACATATGCAGTACTAGGTCCATTGTTTTGCATTGTTCTCTTCTGCTTTTCTTGTGTTCTTTAATATATTTAAGCTTCTCCATATGTCAGTGGACCCTAGGAAGCATTTTTCTGATAAGTTAGATCTGTACTTGGAAAAGAGTAAACTACACAAAAAAGCTGATAATTATTACCATACTATACAAATCTTTCATATGTTCTACTCTTGTTTTTTTCTAGTTAAGTGTTTTTAAACTTATCTTCTAGTGATTATTGACAGAATTTGTATTCAACATCTTGCTCTTTTCTTAAATCTTCCCTGCAATTATTTTAAATAGTTTTCTTCTAAAGGGTATCTCTGGCAGCATACTTAAAAGTGAGAGAGAAGCACAAAATATGGGAGATTTGTGCAATCTTATTTTAAAGCAAAAAATGCCTTTAGGCATATGAATGACTAATGAAAAAGAAAACGTACCTAAAACTGTAATTTGTTTTCCTGGTTAATATGAAAAGAAATTTTGATTAGAAATATAGTAAATTTTTGTAAAATAATAAGAACTTTTAATTTCCTACAAATTTGAAATGACGGTGGAAAGTTATAGGAATTTCTGTTGAAAAAGATTTGGTAATAAATAAATGAGCAACAGCTGCTGCTACTCTTCATAAAGCCTTAAAAATGTTTATTTAGAAAAAATATGTTAATATATAATACCACTCTTTTTATTTTCCCTTTAATGATTTATACCAGCCTGCAGTTAAGCACACTATTAAATTTATAGTAAACTTCCAAATTAAGCAAGAGTTTGCTTTTCTGATTTTTTTTAATGTGTAAATCTTGGGAGTAGGGATCAGAAAAGGAAATCATATTATTACACACCCTTGTATTTTAAGAAAACAGATGACTAAAAGTCTGTAAATAACTACCATCTATCATCTTTCTATTTATCATTCATCTTGTTTTAAGGCCTCGTTCTAGATCAAGGGACAGTGGCGATGAAAACGAACCCATTCAAGAGCGATTCTTCAGGCCTCACTTCTTGCAGGCTCCTGGGGATCTGACTGTTCAGGAAGGAAAACTCTGCAGAATGGATTGCAAAGTAAGAATTTATTATTGCCTGCCTCACTTCTCCCCTCATTGCCATTCCTCTGTAGAGTATAAAATGGTTCCACCTTAAGAGAAAAAAAACGAGTGCCATATACTGGATGTTTATATGCTGCTTTTCATCATTCTTTACCCTTATGTTAAAATTTACATTAAATGTGTTCTTTATGCAGAACCCTATATACCATACGCCAGAAAGTCACTGGGAGGTTTTGTTTGTCCCTTCAAGTTTTCCATTTTGAAGTAATAAATGTGTTGAATCTGCCATTTATCCTAATCATTAGTTGATCTTCACACTTCTTTAAAGCAAATTTTGTATCCATACATCTACTCTGACTTTTAGTGCTCCCGTTTTCTCTCCTCTTTCACCTGTGCTACAGCAGGGCTTCTTCACCCAGGGTCCTTGGGTAGGCAGGCTGCATCAGGTATGTGAACTCTGACATTACACACAAAATTGTGTGTGTGGTATAGCTTTCATCAACCTCTCAAAGGAATTTAAGACCAAAAATGTTTACTAACCACTGTTCTGAAGTTTTTTGTTTGTTTTGTTTTGTTGCCCAACTACTTATTCATCATAAGTTAGTTTAGCTCAAGTATGGAAAAGGTTTTTAAAAATTATTTGGGCTCCCTCTGCTGGTTCTCTGTGGGATTGCAGAACACAAGTAGCTGCTTAGAGGATTTGGGCATTATTTGCTTTTTCAAAAAATGAATATTTTTATTTTGCAGCACAATTATTTTTACAGTATAAATACAGAAATTGAGTTTTGATGTATTTATGTGAATATCTACTTCCTTTTTGGTCTGTAATTAAGAATTCATACAGTAGAATTACCATATGATCCAGCAATCCAAGTACTGGTTACATATCAAAAAAAAAAAATTGAAATCAGTATGTCAAAGAGATATCTGCACTCCCATGTTCATCGCAGCATTATTCACAATAGTCAAGATACAGAATCAACCTTTGTCCATCGGCAGATAAATGGATAAAGAAAATGTGGTATATGTACACAATAGAATACTATTCAGCCTTAAAAAGTAAGGAAATCGCCTCATT